ACGTACCTCTGTGTAATAGGTGGGGGAACTACTGCTGGAGGAGTATTAGGAGGAGGATCATCTCTCACTACACCATTTAATGGAATCTAAAATTTATGTTATAAGTTATGTTTTTATTAAAATGAAGAAATATTCTTTACCATATTTGGTCCAGTGGAATAAACATTACTAGTAGTCACTTCCATTTTTCCTCTTCTCTTTTTAAATCGAACTGTTGCTGCTACCGCTACAATTACTATAACAACTACAAGGTACATATTAATGACAACATTTGATTATAATGTACATACCAATTATTATAATTAGTAGTGCAATTGATATTCCAGAAGCCAGTCCAATAATTGATGAAGAAGAAGATATGGATGAAGGAGCCGTCAATGAAGGAGTTGGGGATGAAGAAGTTATAGAAGTTACTGATGACAAAGTTAAAGATGAAGAAGATGAGGAGAAAGGTGGAGTCATGGAGAAAGGCATTGGGGATAAAGAAGAGATTATGGACGAAGAAGATGATGACAAAGGTGGCAGAGTTGTTGATGAAGACATTGAGGATGAAGAAGAAGTAATAAAAGAAGATGACAAAGTTTGAGATGAAGATGAAGACAAAAGTAAAGTTGTAGATGAACGCAATAGAGATGAAGATAAAGAAGTTGGGAATAATGAAGTTAGGGTTGAAAGAGTAATGGATGTAGAAGTTAGGAATGAAGGTATTAGAACTGATGGGGGTATAGCAGTTGAAGTACCTATGTATACAATAAAGTACATTATAACTACACAAATGAACATACACTATACCTGTCACTAATGTACTAGTTAATCTAGTGGTACGGATAGAAGTAGAACTACTGATGGTAGGAGTATCTGTAGTACTGCTTATGATGGAGCTACTTGTAACTTGTTGTACTGTTGAAGTAGTTGACACTGATGAAGTAGTTGAAGCAGTCAGAACTGATGAAGGAAATGTTTCAAATTCAGATATTATTGATGAAGTTGGTTCAAAAGAAGTCAACATTCTTGTTTGTAAAGACATCATTGAGGAAATATTTGAAGTAGATGATGAAGTAGTTGGAGCTGATGAACTAGTTGTAACTATAAAAGTGGAAGTAGTTGGAACTACTGGCGAAGTAGATATTATCAATGATACAGACGTCGTTGATGGGGTAGTCAATACTATTGATGTGAGTGATACTGATGATGAATGAACTGATGACATTAGAACTGAAGATGTAAAGTCATTAGTAATATTAATACCAGTTATTACAGCAGGACAATTAGATATACAGTTCTCAAAAAAGGTTTCGAATTCACATGCATGCAGTGTTAAGTTATTACCAGCTGGTATGCCATCAAAACACTTAATAAA